AAAGTGTTTACACACAAAAACATCAACAATAATATCATTATGTTACGTATAAATACAATATTTGCTTAGGTGTGTGTTTTTTTCTTTAACTTAATGGACAAAATTGCTTTGTATTTGAATTTCATTGCTATAATTGGACAGATTCTTCACTGTAGAAAACCTGTAAGCAAGCAATGAAAGTAACATCCCATAATATAAAGTATAAACAAACGAGAAATGCAAGAAATAGAAACATACTTCCATTTGTGTATTATAGAATCTTGCTTCATTTCTTTCTACTACAACATTGTACTTTAATGTCCTTATTAAGTCATATTATAGTTTGAAAAATCCCCTAAATCATAATATTGTACATTCATTTTCCCACTTATTATGACATTACACTTTGAAAAATCTACCTATGCATAGCTTTGAGAATATGTATTTATGACATCACCCAAAAACTAAAAACAAGATGCATACCTGAATGTAAGGGTAAGTGTTAGCAGCAGCTTTATCACCAATAAGCATGGAATCACATTGAGAAGAATTCCTTGCATTATCAGCTCTTGATTGAACCTGAACAAGTCCCCTAAACAATTCCTTGAATTTCCAGCTGAAATCCCCTTTGAAATAATCCGACTTTTTGTATTCTTCCCCTTATGAATCATCTTTGTACCTGTATCCGCTTGTTGCATATTATTAGTCAAAGCAACCGAATAAAACTCACCCACAGAATCATCACCTTCCAAAACAACACTCGGGTATTTCCATGTAATTGCAGACCCGGTCTCCACTTGGGTCCAAGAGATCTTGGATTTTCGACCCGCACAAAGGCCACGTTTTGTCACAAAGTTAAAGATCCCGCCCCGCCCGTTTTCATCACCCGCGTACCATTTTGAACTGTGGAGTATTTGATTTCAGCTTCTTCGTTACAATGGAGTTCAACAACAGCTGCATGGAGCTGATTCGTGTCATAAGAAGGAGCAGTGCAACCTTCTAGATACTCAACAAAGCTTCGATCATCTGCTATGATAAGAGTTCGTTCAAATTGACCGGTTTCCATGGCGTTTATACGGAAATAAGTTGAGATTTGCATCGGGCATTTGGTGTCTTTAGGGATGTAGACGAAGGATCCGTCACTAAATACAGCTGAATTCAAAGCAGCGTAGAAGTTATCATCTGAGGAAACGACTTTTCCTAGATATTTTTTGACTTTATCAGGGTGGTCTTTAATGGCTTCGGAGATTGAACAAAAGATTACCCGGATTTCTCTAATTTTTCTATGAGTTGTGGCGATTGAAACGCTGTCGAGAACAGCATCCACAGCGACGTTTGCTAGACGGTTCTTTTCGCTTAGAGGGATACCCAATTTGTCGAAGTACTTGAGGAGTTCTGGGTCGGCTTCATCGAGGCTATTCAAAGTTGGTTTCTTTTTGGGTTCTGAATAGTAACAGAGGTTTTGGAAATCGATTTTGGGGTAATCGTTATCGGACCATTTTGGCTCGGTCATTTGAAGGAATTTATGATAAGAATTCAATCTAAACTCAAGCATCCAATCAGGTTCGTTTTTCCTTGATGAAATTAGCCTGATTGTTTCTTCGGAAAGCCCTTTAGGGATCGTGAACGAATCAATTTCTTGACTGAATCCCCATTTGTAATCTCTTTTAAGAAATTTCTGAAGTGGGTCGTCATCGACTGAAGATGAATTTGAAGAATTACCTTCAGCGACTGTCTCTGATTGGATTGTTTTTGCATCAGCTCTGAGCTTCAAGAACCTGGAATTGTGGGACTTTGACTTCGGTGTTTTACAAGAAATTTCGGTTTTGAAGATGATCCTTTGAGATTTTAGGGGTTTCTGAGATGGTTGTGGAGAAAAGGTTGAAAAGACTCCATTTGTGACGAGAGAAGCCATTGATATGGTCGATTTACCAGAAGATGCCTGATGAAAACCTAGAAGAGTCGAGAGAGTCGATGATATGGTTTTTATGTGGTGTGTGTAAGGCTTGAATTCAGCATATTCGTATGTCAACCACGAGCCCTCATATACTTCCTAAATTTTGGGACACATATTCATTTATTCATTGTGTTAAAGTCCTCAAAGATATCGTCTTGATACACAATTCCTCCCCAAGTAGTGAATGTTAAAGATTTAGTCCTTCGATTTTGTTGAGTTTCAATAACAAAAGGTTTAAAAAAAATTTAGAAGTACAAATCTAATATATTCCTAATTATATATATGTCCTAGACGGGGACTTGAACCATCATTAATTACAAAGATAGATGGTGATACTTGATACTGCTAGTCTTAAATCATTTGGTGTTAGATGGTTTAAATACATGATAAGTCAAATCTCAATATAACTTGTAAAAAAATCATGGGAAAATCTCAGAAAAACCCTATGTATTATAGGTTAATGTTTAAAAAACCCTTATATTTTTTGTACAATTTAACCATTATTTAGTTTAACCTTGATTGTTTTAATGTTTTGTGACTGGCCACTCTTAACCAACCGGTCATTTAATAAATGACGTGGGTTTTAATAGATCTGGACCTCAACGAATGGACAATTCTTCTCTTCAAAACTTGCGTTCCTCTACTTCTTCTTTTGATTTCTTGTTGTGCAACTGAAATGGTGATCAATCATATGGTTCTTCTTCTTCCTTCTCAACTTCTAGCTACAAAAACGTACTCTGTAAATGTGGTGAACAACCAAAGATCTGGACTTCAACGACCAAGAAGAACCCAGGCCGACACTTCATTCGGTCCCCTAATTCTCTGGTATACGAAATTCTTTAAGATTGATGTCGTTTCTCTAATGTTTACTCAAATACTTCATTTTTTCTAGGATTCTTCAAAAGATTGTAAATTTTTTGTATGGGTGGATGAGGATTTGGGTCTTCACAGATATAAGAGTAAGTCAATGAGTTGAATAGGGAGAATATGGATTTATTCAAAGAAAATATGATCCTTTCCAAGAAGAATATGGAACTGGAGAAGGAGAACATATGTTTGCAGAAGAAATTGATGAAGCTAGAGGTGATTGAAAAAAAGAGATTGATATGTTCATGGTTAAGGTGCTGTTTGGTATTGTTCTTCGTTAGCATTTTCATTTACTTTATAATTCCGTAGTATGGAAAGTTAGGTTAATTTAATATCGCTAATTATGTAATGGCAGGTTAGGTGTGCTAAAGTATTGCAAGCTTGTTTAAGCAATGTACCTTGAATCAATGTTTAACCAATGTATTTTGAAACCATGTAATTTAAATCCCCTGCATATTCTAACTATCTTTCTGGTGTGGTTATTTTGTTTATGTTTGTATGTAACTATCTTTTTTATGTAATTATCTTTGGAATTAATAAAAAATACATTTTTGCTAATGGGTAATGTTTAATTGCCACATATATGTGAAAAAACTATGTGTACAGACAATAGTGAGAGATTTCTTTTAAGTAATAACAAGTTGTCAATATATTAGTAAATTCGTATCATAAACTTTTAACCAAATAGTGTAGCTAATGAGTACTTAATTTTTTAACAAACGTAGCTTCCATTTTTGCATTATTTAATCTTTTTCAAGGCGTTTAGAAGCAAAAAAAAAAAAAAAACATGTTATTTGGAGCAGGGGTAAAAACGGAAAACAGAAAAAATATTAGGAAAAGGAAATGGAAAACAGAAACAAGGAAACAGAAAAGGAAAACAAACAAAAGAAAACATATTGGAAACGATTACACATTTTTAGAATGTTTTTAACTCACATGTGCATAGTGAAAATCCCCATTTTTACCCTCCATTTCAAGACTGTCACGGGAAAGGAAAACAAAAACAAAAAATTACTATAATTCCCTTAATGTGGAAATGATTACAGGTTCACAGGAAAGGAAAAAACAAAAAACAGGAAAGGAAAAACAGAAAACATGAGATGACCATTTTGCCCTTGGTTTAGGTCTTTAGCTACTAGACATAAAATACAATCGTTATGGTAGATTACAACCTTTTCTAAACATAATAAAATGGAACAAAACAACTTATCTTGCAGGAAGAAAAAGATAAAACTGGAGATGACCGTTTTGCCCTTGGTTTGGGTCTTTAGCATAATATAACATGTTAAAAGAACAAAATGCAAAACAAATAATATGGAACAAAATGCAAAACAGTTAACATAACTTGTTAAAGGGACATAACTGAATTACATTTCAATAACAAAAGAATAGGAATACTAGATTCCAAGTATCAAAATTCATCACAAAGTACTAGAGTTTTGTCCTATTTTGGCTCCTAAATCTAGTATTCCAAATTAACAAAAGACTTGATTTGTGTCCCATTTCGGCTTCTAAATCTAGTATTCCACCTACATCCTCATCCAGATGGCTTTCTTGGATTGAACTTTTCACAGATAATAGGTACATTAATTGCTATCCCGCCAACCACATGAGATTGATCTTCCCAATTAGCTGCAAAAGTTATGAAAGTATTAGATTTAATATAATTATAGAATACATACAAATGAAATTATTTCTTACCATTTTCAACATCAAATTGAGTTTCAGGCACTCCATCATCTTGAGTTATAGGAACTCCTTCATCAAATTGTGATTCAGGAAATTGCATCATATGTGAACTTGCCCCCCCTTTCCATTTCAGCCCTAAATACGTCTTCCTCAAAATTATCAAACATGTTTATAACTTCATTTTCTGTTGGTGAATCAAAGATTTCATCTATAAGTGACCTTCCTCCTCTACCACCACTTCTACCTACAGATGATCCTCTTCCACCTCTTTCCCTAGTTGGTCTTCTTCCTCCTCTCCCACCACTTGTAGTTGGTCGTTTTGAAGGTGCTTCATCAGAATGTGGTTTTTTAGGCCTACCAGGAGGCTTCTTTTCCTTAGGAGGGGGCACAACTTTTTCATTCTTGCATGTCCTAGCATTGTGCCCTTCCTGTAAACAGTTGTGACACTTCTTTATTTTTCCTTTACCCGAAACAGTTGAATACTTTGTCTTTTTTTCAGTTTAGTCTCTTTTTCTTTTCACAGAAGGCCTTCCTGGCATCCTGCGTTCTTTTGGGGGCAATATGTAACGTCCGGGTTTTCAGGGCTAAGCATTTTTGTCAATGTAATAGTCTAGGTCAACTATTGTAACTCTTTTTGAAGTAATAAATATGAAATATTTGAGTATTATGTGAATTATGTGTGTTTATGTGTTTATTATTTAATTATAAATGTATAATTAATAAAGAATAAAAATGAGCGTCAAAATTAAAGTGTGAGATAATCCCGATATCTCTACATAAAGTTGTAGAATATGTCTCAAGGTTTCCGTACATATAAAGAATGCCGAAATCCGAGCTATAACGAAGAAGTTATGGCCCGCCGAAGTTTTACGGCAAAACCGGCACGGCACCGGGAGACGTAAATAGTGAATTTACGATAGAAGACTTTTTAGCCTTAGCAATCTAAACAAAAGTCGTAGAATATGTTAAACTAAGAACATCGATAAAAAGAACGCCCAAATCTGACTTCGTATGAAGAAGTTATGATTTTTCTAAGATTCGGCTTAGCAGTGCACGGCCTGAAACTCGAATTTTAGTTCGAGCGGTTTTTGGCTTACGCAACGTAAATGAGAGTTGAAGATCTCATTAATAGGAAATCAACGGTAAAAAGACAGACAAAAACAGAGTCCGTATGTAGAAGTTATTAATTTTACGCAGACGTTTAACAGTATAATCTCCTTGTACTGTTAAATTTAAGATCGGTCGAGAATTAGCTGACGGTGTCAAAATGAAAGTTGTAGATCTTATTATTACCTACGCGTGGATATAAAGAACGTCAAAAACGGAGGTCGTATGTGAAAGTTACGGATTTTAGAAGTCGGAAGTGTGCTGTGCGAAAATGGGTGATGTGGCACAATCTTGGCCATTGCTTTCTCCCCAAGGCTTGCCACCAGATGGTGACATGTGGCACCAAGTTCAGCCACATTTCACCCTATAAATACCACCTCTCCCACCCTCATTTTCTTCACACCTTTCCCATTCTTTCTTCTCTTTACTCTCTCTCTCTCTAGAACCTCTCTCTAGCCCCGAAATCCCCCGAAAAGCCTAGGGAACCTCCCTAGCACGAGGCGGAAGCCCCGGAGTGCTCGAAGGCTCCGAGAAGAAGAGCTTTTCGGCTCGGGAACGCTGCTCCAAGCAAAGCCCGGTTTTCTATAAAACCCGCTGTAAGTGAGCTACGCCTACGCTATTTTTAATATAGCTTTTATTTAATTATAGTAACGTTATTAGGAACTTATAATAAATACTTGGCTATTATTATGGGTTATATAAGTATTTTTTGACGCTTATATAATAATAATAATAGCTAGACTATTAATTAGTCTCGACGAATAATAAACTAAACTCTAGTGGTAATAATACTAGGTTTCGTCGAAGAAAATTCTTTTTAAGAAGCGAAGCGCTGTCTGAGTTCGGAATCACCACCTTTTCAGGTGAGTGCATAGTTACTTTCAACTTACACATAGATATGAAGTATTTAATATAAATTACGTGCTACGTGTGCATATTATTTGAATACTTGCTATCTATGCTGGATGAACGTTTTATACATGTTTTCAAAGATTTAAACTGTATATGTATTTTATATCTACAAAATGTGTTGGGTAAAACATGGGTAGATGTAATAGTTGCTGTGTGACAAAATAAAATAATGAGAGGCCTCGTTATAGATGTTATTGATGATCCAGTCATCTAGCGGAGTATAGATGACGACCACGGACTATTCTAGACAGTCCAGTGGAACACTAGCAGGCTCGCAACCTGTAGGTGTTTATTTGAACTGTGTGCTCACCAGATGTACTCCATCCCCCACATGGTTGCCTATTAGGACATTTATTGCTGAGGAATCCCCTTAGCAGTAGTGTCCGTCCCGATGATGATCCTTAGGCTAGGTCCCTTATGATAGGTGTTTAGGGACGTAAAGTGAGGATAACGGGAACGGGTAATCGGGTTATTGTTGATTGATGAAATTAATAAACTTATTTATTGTGGGTTGAAAACCCTATGTGCTCACCAGGCTCCCAAGCCTGACCCACTCAGTTTTATGTATTACAGGTAGTGGCGCATGAGCATAGGTGTGATGTTTTGGACGAGGGATTACGGATATAGGCCTGTAGATATGAAATAATGTAGTAAGGCTTATAGTGTACTGTTTATACTTTTGATCTGTACGAACATGACATCCCGAGTCTTTTAATGAAATACATTTCTATGGAAATGCTTTTGATAAATCTTTATCATATTATTGTTTTGGGACAAATTCCGCAACCTTTTATTAAAAGATAACTCTGATTTTGAAATAAAGTATAAACAAAACCGGTCTTTTCTGGCCGTGATTTTGGGGATGTCACAGTTGGTATCAGAGCATTAGTTTAAGCGAACTAGGAATTTATAGGATTTCTAGACTTAAACTTAGAATGCTAAGCGATGATTGTGAGGTGTGAGCACTAGCTTATTTTAGGAATTGTGCCTAAAATGCTTTTATGTGCTAAATGCTTTATGCATGATATGCTGTTATTTTGTTCGGATCTATGGTCTGTTGCCGACCGGATCTGGAAACCTTATGTGTTTAGGATTCTAAACGTACGACTACGCTATTAGAACTAGCATGTAAACGTTTCGGAGTGATAAGGACGATTTAAAACGTCTCTCCTAAATAAAGATCTAAATTCACCTTATTCGGTGTATAGATCAAGATGGCAAGGACCCGTAGCGGAAACGTAAACGCAAATGGGAACAGACACCAACCCCCCGTGATCGAGCAAATACCAGTTGTGGAAGCCGCTGCCGGACCAATAACGATGGCCGGAGTGCAAGCGATGATCCAGGCAATGTTGGATCGTCAAATGGAGGAAACCAGGCGTTTGCTCCAGCAAAATCGAGAGGAAGCGACTATTCAAATCGAACAGCCCGAGTTGAACGAAGGGCAGACTGAGGAAGGAGACTACAGTGGAACCGTTGGTCAAGCCAACCCACCAATAGTTCAACAAAACAACCAAGGTGACGAAGTCGAGAGGAATGGATGCAAGTACAAGGATTTTCTGACTTGCAAGCCATCGACTTTCACGGGAAAAGAAGATCCAATCGGGGTCATGGATTGGATCTCGGAGATGGAGTTAGCTTTCATGACGTGCGGTTGCAGAGGAAAGCTACAGACCACGTTTGCAGTACGTCAGTTTCGAGGAGGCGCTGTACGTTGGTGGAATACCTTGGGGAAGACTTTAAGCCCCAACAAGCCCCTGCAACTGACATGGGCAGAATTTCTGGTGCAATTCAAACGAAAATACTGCTCGGCTCAAAACCTGCTAGAGTTAGAGAACCAGTTTCTAACCCTGAAGAAGGGAAGCATGTCAATCGATGAATACACGAACAACTTCACAGAAAAGATGGAGTTTGCCTTGCGTCTTGTTCCGGATGAGCTGACGAAAATTGATAAGTACGCAAAGGGACTTCCATGGGAGTACGCGGTGCCAGTACGTCAGGCACCTACTTTGGAGGCAGCTATCTGGGCTGCCAAGTCTGTGGAGGACATGATTAAGGGAAGAGCTGCCAGCAAAATCGAGGTTGGAGAGAAGAGGAAATTTGAAGGGTCTGCTAAACCCAACAAAAAGAAGAGCAAGTTCGGTTCAAAAAAATTCGGGGGAGGAAACGAATTTAAATGGTGCGAGAAGTGCAAGAAGAAGCACTCGGGAAAATGTGGCGATGAAGTAACCTGCTACAAGTGTGGGAAAACAGGGCACTATGCCAATGAGTGCACCACCAACAAGAAGGTGTGCTACGAGTGTCGTGAAGAAGGGCATATTGCTAAGGATTGCCCAAGGAAGAAAGATGCGGGAAGGCCCAACATACCACCAAAGCCAAAGGCGAGAGCCTTTCAGATGACGCTCGAGGCTGTGAAGGAGGCAGCAGACGTCGCTTCAGGTACCTTTCTTGTAAATGGTTTGCCTGCAAATATACTATTTGATTCCGGAGCCAATTACTCCTTTGTGTCGCATAAATTTGGTGGAAGATTAGCATTGCCTGTAGAAAAACTAGATAATGCCCTGATTGTAGAAGTTGCCAGTGGCAAATTCGTACCTGTTAGTAATCGTATTAGGAACATCGTCATTGACCTAAACGGAAACGAATTCCATGAGGAACTATTACCCATAGAGTTAAACGGTTTCGACATTGTTTTGGGTATGGATTGGCTTAGCGCCAACGATGCCGAGATATTATGCCGAAAGAAGATAGTTAGGATAAACCCACCCGGAAAGGAATTATTTATGGTGTACGGGGACAAACGCAGAGTAACTTCTGGAATCATCTCCCTGATGAAAGCCAGGAAATGTTTGTCCAAAGGATGTGCATCATACTTGGCATTCGTAATCGATGCTAAGAAAGAAAAGAAAGAGGTGCAGAATATACCGGTTGTGTGCGATTATCCGGAAGTCTTTCCCGAAGATCTTCCCGGATTACCACCTGATAGACAAGTGGAGTTTCGTATAGACTTGTTACCAGGAACAACACCGATAGCAAAGCCACCTTACCGATTAGCACCGACGGAGATGAAGGAGCTCATGACACAACTTCAGGAGTTGTTGGACAGCGGATTCATTCGACCTAGTTCATCACCCTGGGGAGCTCCGGTGTTATTCGTGAAGAAGAAGGACGGAAGCATGAGGATGTGCATAGACTACCGAGAGCTGAATAAGGCAACGGTGAAGAACAAGTATCCATTGCCGAGGATTGATGACCTATTCGATCAGCTGCAAGGTTCGAGCTACTTCTCAAAGATCGATCTTAGGTCAGGATATCATCAGCTGAAGGTGAGAGAGCAGGATATTGAGAAGACTGCATTCAGAACAAGATATGGACACTACGAGTTCTTGGTTATGTCATTCGGACTAACCAATGCTCCCGCAGCATTCATGGATTTGATGAATAGGGTTTGTAAACCATTCCTCGATAAATTTGTGATAGTGTTCATCGACGACATTCTCATCTACTCGAAAAGCCAGGAGGAGCATGGCAAGCATCTACGAGAAGTGTTGGAGGTGTTAAAGAAGGAGAAGCTTTTTGCAAAGTTCTCAAATGCGACTTTTGGATACGGGAAGTCCAATTCTTGGGTCATGTTGTTAACCAAGAAGGAATAATGGTTGACCCCTCCAAGATCGAGGCTGTAATGAAGTGGGAACGTCCGAAGAGTCCCACGGAGGTTCGAAGCTTTCTAGGATTAGCCAAATATTACCGACGATTTATCCAAGGCTTTTCTTCGATAGCTGCTCCATTAACAGCTTTGACCCATAATGGAGCTATGTATACATGGAGTGAGAAACACGATGAGGCGTTCGAGAAGCTAAAGAAGAAGTTATGTGAAGCACCGATACTTTCTCTACCCGATGGAGTTGAAGATTTCGCGGTTTATAGTGATGCATCTGGAGTCGGGTTGGGTTGTGTTCTGACCCAAAGAGAAAAGGTGATACATACGCATCTCGACAATTGAAAGAGCACGAAAAGAACTGCCCCACTCATGATCTGGAGTTGGCAGCGGTAGTATTTGCCTTAAAGATATGGAGGCATTACCTCTATGGCACGAAGTACAAGCTCTTCACTGATCATAAGAGTCTCCAATATCTCTTTAATCAGAAGGAGTTGAACATGAGGCAACGACGCTGGCTAGAGCTTCTCAAGGACTACGACTGTGAGATACTTTACCACCCAGGTAAAGCAAATATTGTTGCTGATGCTCTCAGTCGGAAAGTCAATCTTGAAAGAAAAAGGCCAAGAGCGTTAAGAATTGAAGTCGTCTCGACGATTGTGGAAAGTATCAGGAAAGCTCAAGAAGAAGCCTTAGAAAAGAATGACCGAAAGGAAGAACGTTTGGGAAAAACGTTAGTGTTCGGTACAAACAGTCGAGGACTGAAGGTATTCCAAGATCGAATCTGGGTACCTAAGACGGGAGGAATAAGAGATCTTCTAATGGAAGAAGCACACAGACCA